TGTTATTATTATTACATACAGGTTTTCTACGGAAACAAGAATACATATTATTACTATACACTATATGTACCTTTGTATGTAATTAAATTACTAATATAGACATTGAGGAAAACATAGTATCTAAGCAAATAAGTAGAGCATTTCAGTGAGTAATATATTTTCTTATCTCATTGAAAAGGTATTTGCCCTTTTTCTTATGTTTATTTTATTGATAGAAACATCTTATCATTTATTAAGTAGGTACTATGTTTTGACAAATAAATATATTATTAGACGTTTCACAAATAAAAAGAGTTTATGAAATCAATTTGTATGTATATGTAATATTGTTAGAATGGCACAATATTCGTAAGTATCTGTTAGGTTATTTAGGTTTCAACTTGTGTGTCATATTTCATAAGTGTTGCAAGCGTCCGTATGTTGGTCTATGCCACACACATAAAATTGTATAAAAAAATGTTTATTCCTAAACGATTTAATAGTTCTCGAGACCGGCTCTTATATTTGAAAACATGTTTGTTTTACTAAACTGTTTTCATGACAGGGTTTGTTCCATGCTGCCATTGCGCAAAGCGGTGTGGCGGTGGCTCCTTGGGCGCTTGCGCACGAACCTCGCGCACGCGCCTTCGAGCTAGGCAGGGAGTTGGGCATCGACACCAACAACACCGCTGAACTATTGGGCAAGTACTTATACGTATTTTGTGACATTTCTAAAATAACGAAAATTATAAAATTTATGGTACAAAGAGTTTCAAAACTGGAAACAAGATTGATCCCAAGTCTTTAGTTTGGTTTCAGTAATTAGTAACGCATGCAAGACGGTTTAAGTGTTCTGGTTAGTCTAGACTGAATTAATTAGTAACAAAAATAAACTAACCTATTTGAACTAGCTAGTTAGTTAAACTACCGATACCTCAACTTTACTTAGAATGAGCATAACAGCTCATTCCAGTATTTAAGAAAGTTCTAGAAAATCGTTTATGTTTAGGCTACCTCCGCGCGACACCAAGCGAATTGCTTGTCAAAGCGGGGGCTCGGTTGTCAAGTGCTCCAGGCAAGTCAGCTGACCTGCAAAGCACCGTGGCATTGCCCTTCTTACCCACACTGGAGCCAGAAGGACCTGATGCCTTCCTCACCAAACCTCCCAAGGAAACACTTCCCGGTGCCGATGTTCCGTTCCTTACTGGATACAATGCACAGGAAGGCATTATACTGTTTCGAAGTAAGTATTTTTTGTTTATTCTAGATTTTTTAAGATCATATTCGTAGGACCTTCTCATATGTAACTTATACAACCAGGGCTTTATTGCCTATAATTTGTATTAACTAACACCGTACCTACGAATTATTATAAATGCGAAAGTTTGTAAACTTTTAATAAACAAACATACATTAATGTTATTAACACTTTCACACAAAAATACTTAACGAAGCGTAAATACATTACAGCCGGATACAAGTCACTTTTTACCCTGAGAAGCTGCTGGCAAAAGCTTAAGTTGTTGTATTACATAAATTATGGTAAAGGAACTGTACCTATTTATTGCAAACATACTGACTAAGGTATAGGAAGGTAAAACTAAAACAAACAATAAATTGACCCACAAGCAGCGTTACGGATGATTGCGTCGGTAACAATTAAACATATATATGTATGTATGTAGGTACATAAATAAATTATTAATCAAACCTATTGTGGTTTACATCGACCTGATCGGTAAACTAACAACATAAATAATATGTTAATGAATTACGAGGACATTAACTAAGTATAGTGTTCAGAGAAGTTGGAAACAATGAATCCGTTCCTATTTTAGATTTCATTGAAACGGAAATGTTAAAAATATTTCAAAAAAATCATTTTCATGTAACTTGTTGCCAAGATTGGACCTTTTAACTAGTTCTGTTAAAAATGTAGAGCCAAGTTACAAACCCTGCAAGCCCAAACCGAAATCTATGAGCCCCAATTTTACACTACGTTTCGACGAAATTCTACAGCTGGAGCTAGTAACGCGTAGTCCGTAGCGCGTAGCCCGTAGCGTGTAATCCGTAGTACGAGTCCGTAGCGCGTAGTTCGTAGCGCGTAGTAACGTCTTCCCTTCCGCCTTTTATCTCGCAGGCGTACAAACCGTGGACTGAACTCACAAGTCGGCCGCACGGAAACAGTTTACTAACTGTATAATGAGTGGTCATTCATTAGTAACTCAATGACGTCATGCTCAATATTTCATTTTAATTTTCTCCCTTTATAATTTATTCCATTGAATTTCACCGACATTTTTGGCATGTTTTAAATCATTTATACTTCATACAATATCTTCCTATATGTATAACTCTACCTATTTTCCTTAGACCTTGCATTTTAGTGACGAAATTCAAATAAAAATGCATTGGTTTTTTCGAGAGACACTTCTACATCAACTTTGTCAGGAAAATTACATTTCCTGCTAAATTGTGGGATTACCCAGTTGGTAACCAAATTGGAAAAGTCAGAGCAGACGTAACATCTTATTATGAGTAGTTACCCTAGTTAAGACTCACCGTTATGTCTATGTATATAGTAGGTATACTTATCTACTACTTAGGCACGTTCTTATGTCGGTTTCAGTTACCCATTAACTTCATATTTTTATTTATTGTTAGACAACTTATAAATATAAAACATAACATATAAGTAAATCTTTCTATGACTAGAATATTCAGATCCATTTAACATTAACCACCCACGACTAGTTTGGTGATCAGTAATTGCAACATAAATTCCCAAAGAAGTACGAACTTGTGATTGCAGTAACCACATGCCTAAATAACATGTCAGCTAAACATTAACCAAAAGCAATTTTCCTTTAATAGCTTGATAGGTACGGAGGCTTAATAAATCCTTGGCGACATTTTGCAAGCCGGGCGAACGGAACTGACCGCACTTTGGGCCCTTCACAAATCCTGTACACTTACAAGTTTTGCGACACACTGTAATATTACTACGTACATAGTTAAGACTTACTTAATTCAATTACACCGCTTATCTTGTGGTTTTGCAGAAAATAATATTAAATATCAGTTTTTATAAGACATTAGTAAATATTAATTTAAAGGCTGCACACCACAATAAATTTAAGAAAGAGGGGTGCGGCTCATCCATTTTGCCAAAGCTTTCTTCAATTAATAACCCTTGATGACCTGAAGTCAAGACCCTTGTTACAGAAGGCTATATATTATCTACTATTGATTCAGTTCAGTCAGTAGTCCAATAGTGCTAAAGAGAACTACAAAGCCTGTGTGAAAATGAGATAAAGACACGAACAGCAGCTTATATTGCCAAAGGCAGTCTATAATCTGTGTTTATTATTATCGTAGGTACACTGATATCATCATAATGCCTAACGTAAGATGAAGGCCATTATGAAATATTAGAATGATAAGATAACAATAACGAACACTTGAAAATAAATATTATCTCCCGTAGCTACATACATGAGAAGATTTAATCTTATGATCAATCAATGTGACAATTCTACTAGTAGGTATATCTAAAGAAATACGTAAGTCGCATTCCGATTACCATTCAGGAAAAACGCAGTCTCCTAACTATGAACCAGACGTCATCAACATTCGCAAATTTTCATTTACTTAACAAGTCATATATAAATCGAATTATCGGCCTCGTTATTCAATAACATGTTAAAAAGAGATAAATATTGCAAACTATTTGTTCATAAGAATCCCAAGTCACGAAGTCACGTAGATAGAGTTATGTCATGCTCCCATCTTTGTACGAAGCTGTCTCCAATTTTCTACGATTCTTATTTCACTGTGACTCATATTCGAGTTTCACAAGTAAAGGTCACTTGCGACAGATATTTCCCTAGAATATTCACGAATCATCAATTATTGTGTGAATTGGGTTTTGAGATGAAACCGGGTATTATTTGTTCAAGCGCATTGCGTCTACCAGGATATACTGATTCAATTGGCAATTTTATTTTTTCCTAAATATGTATGTGGTTGGTAAATAAAGATGACATTGGTGGTCGAATAAGGTCATCATATTGCATAGCTGTATGTACTTTATATTAGTCAAAGTTTAGAACTAAGTAACACCTTCAGAAACCAGGCAAACAGTCCTTGCTAGCTTCTAAAAATAATGACATCAGAATCAATAATTCTAGAACAACTAAGGCCTTAAGAAACCTAAGTAGACACTATTATTAAAAAAAAGTAGAACACGTATTATTGACAAGTGATTTAGCATTGGTAGTTAAAATTGAGTGAAAAAACATATAGTTATTGCGGTGATGTAAAACGTTACATAATGTTCTAACAGTGTCCAAAGTAACCGGCAACAAGCATGCGACCGCAGTTGGACCGGGTCGTTACTCGTATTTACATAATAAAGTAACACATGCGATCATATTCACTCTGTGCCACTTTCTCACGACAATAACATTATTGTAAAACAATATCCTTCTCGAGGTTTACGTTACAACACCATATTCGAAATTTGAACCTTTGTTTTCTTTTTTATTGACACCTTTAATGCCTTTATTGTTGATGTAGGTTGCTTATGCAAAAGAAGAAAATCGCTTGACCACCATAATACAAAAATGTTTGTATTGAATTGAAACATAGGTAAATAATGATTTTAGTTATGGCATAAATTTACAATATAGTTGAGTAAGGTCAAGATATATATCAGGTGCCTAAGTACCTACCTAACAGGTGATGTTTAAGTTTCAATAGAGTGCTGACAATCTGCTTTCCTTGTGAGTCTGAGGGTAGAACCAACTTAATAATTGATTTGATTATTTATACACTCCAAGCAGAAATGTACACAATGCCACTCACTTACGGTTGTAATTACTACCGTGGTTAGGCAATTAGAAGAGGTAAAAAAGTTTTAATCACTCTGACATTTCATTCCAAAAACCAACTGTAACTACGTACCTATTTGATATCAAAGATTTCGCTAAATCCTTCGGCTAAATCAAAATAATTACAAAGAGGAAAACCTTGATTTTAATTATCGTTTTTATTATCTGCATGTATTATTGTCAGATATGATATGACTCGGACTATAGTTACATAAATTTTATTTATACACTGGACCAATGGCAAGTCCATTCTCTTTCGCACTTAAGTACACAGAAAACTAAGGGTGCGAAGCATTCGCCATATGCGCCGACGCACTCCAATACTGAATGTAGGAACTGAAATCAGAAGAGAAGTGACTACACAAAATACTTGTGAACCTATCAATTAAGTATATACATAGGTATCCATTAACCAGCATTTTTACATTTATTATACTCCCAATCTCAATAATATTGAAGTTATTGTTGAAAACTAGACGTTTATTTAATAATGCCTTCGGTACTTATTATTGTAAAATACCTAAGTACTACAAGCGAACAATAACACCGATTTACAGTACATGTGTAATTGTGTATTTCTATTGAGTATTTCTAGCCCATAGGTACTTAGTTATATAACAAGGAAAAAGAAATAATATATGTGTGTTACCGATATAAACATCCAACTATTATGTTTACTTATGTTTATTAGTGTTATTTACAAATTGCACGTAATTTTTCAGGACTCCAACGTTACCCAAAGCTGTTGAATGAGCTGGAGCATGAATTCCGACGTGTTGTGCCACCGGAGCTCCTCGACCATAATGACACCATCGTCGACAAGATATCAGACTCCATCAGAGCATTCTACTTCCAACAGAAACCGATCGAAAACAGAAACGTTGACAACCTTATTGACGTAAGATTACATACATCAGTTTAGTTCTAACTTTTGGTTATGATTATATGCAGTTAGCCAAGTTATTAGTATGCAAGTTAGGAAATAACGATTGATTCAGTACATAGAGACACCAATACTTCATAGTAACTTATATTGTCTCAATCTTTATTTTGTAATTGTATTTTTATACAAAACAACTTCTTTAACTAATTGTATAATTCCTTTTTCAGGATTAATAATAATGTGCAGTAAAATATATCTTGTGCTTAGTTATTCACAGATGTGATGTTCCTGCGGCCTGTCCTGGAGACGGTCCGCCAGCAAGTAGAGAGTAATCGGACGAGTCCTACGTACTTGTATCGATTCGCGTTCGACGGAGCCCTGGGGCTCTTCAAACGTATGCTGGGCATCACACATGCAGGTGCCTGCCATGGCGACGAGATGGGGTATCTGTTCTACTTCTCAAGACTCAACTACAGATTGGATGACGATTCTCCCGAGCTAGCTGTTTCTCGACGCATGGTACAAATGTGGACGAACTTCGCGAAAACTGGGTAAGCTCTAGCCGGTTTCAAATATGTAAAGTATAAAAAAATAAGCACCAGATGAGCAAATACATCACAATTCCCTTTCCTTACTGAAAATTATTAAATGAGAATGGACTTCTTATTGATTTTGCCATAATTTTAGTATTGAAAGTGACCATTTGTAACTCCTAGTTATCACTTTCTACGTCGTATGTTCCTATACAAATACTCAGTTGGCCATTGCTGACTGAGTGATTAGATAACTGCAGATAAACGTAATTGTTATCTGTTGATTCGATGATGGATTGTTATTACTTAACAACACCACTGCAAGAACTCTGATACTCACGATAGGGGACAATGATTGTATCTAATTAGGTGCCCAAGAAATCTGGTATTAAATCTTACGTGTGATTGATATTATTACGTCATGATTTATCATTGACTGTAAATTAAAACAATAATAATATGTTGAGTCTTGTATTAAGAGCGATCGCGATTCAGGGCTTCTGTTCTAGATGTCCAATGCCTCTACTTCAGCTAGGGAGATATGAAGGACAAATTACCAGATCAAGTCCTAAAATATTTATGTGTTTTATTTACTAAAATAAACGTATCATTTTAGGAACCCAACGCCGAGTGTGGACTACGAATCAGTAGTTGACTTCACCTGGCCTCAAGTCAACAATACGGAACATATCAGCTATCTGGACATCAATGGTAACTTCACCGTACAGACGGACCCTGAATCGAAGAGAGTGCAGTTCTGGAACTTTCTATATGAGAACTATGGTGCTAATCAAGAGGACGCCACTAACTCAACTGTAGTTGACCAGTGAAATAGTACAATCAAGTGACAAGTGAACCTAGGTTTTGAGACGCTCTAACTGCCATGCCAGTGCGATTACATCCTTAAATACTCAAATATCACTCAATTTTAAAGTAACTACTTACTGCACATGTTTATTGAGTCTAATATAATGGAGTATGACAATATAAGGGTAGCGTAAAATTGAGTAGCCTATCAGTGTTCAGTGTTGATCGTAAACTTACTAACTTATCGCCAAGTGCCAAACTATGATAAAGAATTCTGTTAATTAATGTGTGATCTCAAGTACTGGCGGCGTATAGTAGCGATTGATGGAAAGCTAAGCATTCAGAAATGTAGGAAATAAACGAGTGAATGTGTTCGTTTCTTAAGACTATACGTGAACTTTCTCTCGTAACGCTTATTCCAATTCCGATTAAAGGAAATGGAAAATTAGCTACTTTGTCAACTCTTAACTGCGATGTAAATAATAGATTTATTTAGATTAAGTATCTTATATGTCTTCTGCCTTAACGCCTGTTAAGTTACCATTTATAGAATAAACAAATTTAGTTTTTTTAAGTTGTTTCAATTGACTTTTATTGGGTAAGGATTAACTATACGTAATGTAGGTTTGTACGTCGCTTTATAACTACAATAGAAAAATAAAATTTTATATTGCCAAATAAAGAAATTACAAGTTCTTGATCGAAGGAAGATATAGAGAGAAATCACACTGAAAAAAGTTTTGAGTAACAAATAACAAACAATTGAGTAACCTGTTACATAAAAATAGTGACTACATAACTATAGTTCTTATTAGACAAATTCAGTTTTGTTATTAGAGATCTGTTATTAGTGGCTCGACAAAAATAATAACTTCTTAACAAATTTATTATTCACGTTGTACCAAAGTGTTCTAGAATAAATAACTTAATATGTGTATTATAAAACAAAAGTGTTATGTAAAAATAGCCACGTTTTATTGTTAGCGCGTACAAATCCGTTTGGTTAAAACTTGGTCATGGGTTTGGTATAGTTCAGTTATTAGTTACATCATTATAATATTATTGTAACCAAAATATTTTGTTATTTGTAACTGAACTTTTCGGTTAAAAGTAACATAACTTTTTAGTTAGAGTGACTGCTCCGATCAGCCCGCGAAATTCAAATTTTCTTACGTTTTTTTGCAATTTGCAGGCCAGTGCTAGATTGTATGTTGATTAAAATATTGTTCGCGATTGTAAGACGTATGTAGTTACAGAACTAATAATCATCAAAAGCATCAGTGCAATCCTCCAAGTTGTAAAAGTCTAGCAATGACTTTGACCTTGAAAAAATCTTTTTTGCTAGACCTTTTACAACTTGGAGGATTGTACTGATGCTTTTGATGATTATTAGTTCTGTAACTACATACGTCTTACAATCGCGAACAATATTTTAATCTACATACAACCTAGCACTGGCCTGCAAATTGCAAAAAACGTAAGAAAATTTGAATTTCGCGGGCTACCCTGTAGCATCAGCCTGAAGTTTTTTTTTTCTTGTAGATTTTCATTTACCTACCTATAAGAAGTTTTAGCAAGATATATCCTTCCCCAAATCTCACCTGCTATGGTATTCATTTCGGTTACAAACTTGAGATAGAATAAGAAAAACAACTTTGTTTTTACAATTATATTTATTTATTAAGTATCAAATCAATTAATTTTAGTAGGAACTTATAATTAATTCAGACAAAGAGCTAGCACACTATACTAGCCAAACCTAGCTACATACACTAAAATAGTATTTAAAATTCGATCATTTCCACTAGTTTCATTGAAGTTAAAAAATGAAACTAATGCAAACTACTTTTTTCATTCCATTGTAGTTAATTTTTGCTAAATGCTGTAAACATCTATACATACATCCTCACAAACTTTCTATTTCTATTTTCTAGTAGGAAGCATTTACCAAAAAATAACTACAATGGAAATAGTGGAAATAAATAGTTGCACTAGTTCAATGCAATGATAAACACTGAAATTTTGTCTTTCATGATTCAAAGAAAAATGTGTCATTAGGTTCGGTACACTTGTCAGGTCTTTCAAACATAGGAAACACTTGGGCATTTTAGTTTGTATGCTTATATGCGATTTATGTGATCAATGCTTGTTCTTTATGTTTTAATGCCGAGATCCGATATAAGTGTATTTACTGCAGTAAAGCTTTTATCATATTTCGTTTTTAACTCAAAAAGTACAGTTTGTACAAACTGCCAGACATGACGGGACTCTTTAGGATATTCAGCATTCAATACAAAAATCGCCTTTAAAAAAACTTCTACAGCTTTTGTAATAGTTGGCATTTCATATGTTATGTTATTAATCACTATGTACCTTGCTGTAATTGATTTATTCGGTGACACAACTGCAATTACAAAAGGTTGCATTTGAAGGTCCATTTCCATAAGCTTGTCTCTTTTTCTTGTTATCTCTACTGCTACCTCAGCTGGACTTGCGACTTGAGTTATGAAGCCTTCCAATACCTCTCGCTTTGATGGTCTCCAGTGTGTCTTTTTAGTTGCTTTCTTTGTAGAAGTAACATTTGATGTGCTCATCAAAAAAGGTAGCGATGTTAGAGCGGCTAAATCAGTTTGTTCTTCATTGGACTCTGTAATAAATAAGAAAAAATAAATAACCCTATTTCTAGCGCTGTCAGATAATTAAATAACCCTTTAGGTATCTCCATCAAAGGAAGAAATCATCAACATTGTTCTATAATTGTGTCTATAATGACGGTACGAGTTAAATGACTAATTAAGTATTAATTATTGTTATTATTACTTACAGTGTTCTCAAAAGCATTTGACATTATATTGGTCAAAAGTTTGATTTGTGTCGTCAGCTTAGCCTGGTGTCCAATAATTGGCACTAAGTCTTTCAGGTCAGCCTCTGATAACATTTGGAGAGTCTCCACATCAATGGATTCTTCTGAAATAATATGGATAAGTTTAGTCTTTTTATCTCCGCACTAAGTCAGTTAGTCAGCTTGTTTACTAGTACCACAGGACTTTTCTTAATAAAAATAAGAGTTGGTTGGGAGAGGACAGGCCCTAGGTTATGTAGGTGCGGGGGTCAGTGGTTCATCTTTGGGTGTGGTAGGTATGCAGTTAATAATATCATACACTAGGAAAGCAAAAGATCTGCATAAATAGTCAAACAATAGCTCATAACACTCCATTGCTGAACATATATGCGTTCTCCAATACTGCAGAGTACATAATCTCCATGTATGGAAGAAAACGCTGCTACCCGTTTCCTCAAGTGAAAAACACTCACCCAAAAATTTTGGAATGTAGGCTTCCAATCCCCAAGACCGCAGATAGTCCGAGATCGTTTTCTCTGCCGCCTCGTCTACCGGCGGCGGCTCCATTCTTGAAATCTTCTTGACGTTGCTTGATGATATATGATACATGCATAAAATCGAAAACGCGGCTTTCCCGCTCGCCATAGACGATGCACATTGCACAATAGACACACATCCACTACCTAGTACCTACACTCGCCTCGCAACGCAACACGAGAAGAACAGGTTTCTACAGGTTACTTCCGTGACCGTTAGTGTTTGATGTAACCAAAACGTTTTGTTATGCCCAGCATAACTTTATTCACCACCTATTATATTGCTGTATTATTGATAACCAAAAATATTCTAAAACCAACATAATCAATATTAGTTGATCTCAGCCAAATTTTTTGTTTATTTTTAGTAACTTTGCAAAACAAATCTCAACAATACTATTTAGCTGGTAACAAACTAATATAGCAGACTTGAAAAACAGCAACTATTCGTTAAAAAAATAGTTTTAGTTGGGTCAACTGTAAATTCACAAGTGTGTAGAGTATAGCCAAACATATTATGTTGCAAAGTGCCGAAACCGAATTTTGTATTGGATAACATAAAATTTTGTAGCTTATAACCAACTCAAATAACAAAAATATTTTTGTAAAATGCAACAGAAGCAGTTGATCAATACGTAAATGAAATTCGTTTGTCTTTTATCAAGGTTTGGTTATTTGTGAATTAACTCAACTAGTTTTGTAAAATACTTTTTTCAGTGCAACGTTGCTCCTTGCTTTAAGGAAACAAACATAAAAACAAGCTCCTCGTCGCATACAACCTCAAAGCCACTTAAAAGTGTACGTCATGACTCGGGGAAACTAGTGTGAGAAAATGGTACCTACTTACTTGCTATGATTAATCGTGCAGTTTCCCTGTACGTCATTGGATCCTCTAGCGATAGCGACTGGTATATAAAATAAGTGGATCAGGTACAAACAACATCATTCAGTAAACAGATTCAGTTCTGTACCATACAAAACTTTCCTATAAAGTAGTAAACAATTATATCTCATCAAAATGGTTAGGAACAACTTGGTGAGCTTCCGAAGGCGGGAGGAAAAACCAGCGCATGGCGATGATGTCTCAAGGTAAGTTTTCACGATAACTGACAGATCAAGCCAAAAAAATCTATTCACACTATAAACCCATACACAAGACACAACTTAGTAGTTGTTTAACATTCTCTTTCTATGTCCTGCTAACTTTTTACACGGCGAAACACAACGCAAGCGTGCGTCCTTTCACGCCGGTTTTCTGTGAGGCCATGATATCATTGATCGAATTCACCCAATCATGGTGAAGCTGAAGCATAGCCCCTTACGTAGAACTCTTATCAATATCTCTGTGTGGCCTAACTATAGCGAGAGGAATATACCTTAAATGTACAGGGTGCAACTTTTACAGATTTTAATCGGATCAATTATCGTGTGCGGCAATGGAATTTTAAAAATCTTTGAATTCCGTGATGTTTCTTTTCAAAAATAAAGGAAAGTTTTCTTTGAGTAAAATTTTCTATCTTCAGTATTAAGAGTATATGTCTATCTTTATTACAACAGAGAGCTTTCTTTCCTATAGCTTTATTTCTTGGTTAGAAGAACACAGGGCTGATCTACTGACGATGATAGAACCTACGGGCGTCAAATTGAGTTTGTACTTTTCGATGGACTATGCTGCTGCTACTCATTTTAATTAGAGACTAAAGACGGCTGTAAATAATAGTGACTTATTTCAGCACCAAGCCAGCCAGTAAGGTGTACAACAGTATTTTGGAGTTAGTGGGCAACACGCCTCTGGTGAAACTGAACAGGTTGCCAATAGAACATGGAGTTAAATGTGAAGTTTGTATGTACCTTCCTCAGTATATGACCATTTAATTGAATGACATATTATGTCTCTTGTGATTTCGATTGTACCTACTCAATTTTATGCAATGACTGATTTGGTTATTAAAGTGATTCGCATAAGTATGATTGCTGAAACAAAGTCTTAGGTCCGATTCCTGAGTAAGATAATATATGACGGTCGAAACCTATTGCGGATTTCGAAAGCATAAGTATTTAACCTTAACTTTTTCATGTTACATTTTACAAGCTAATCAGCAACGAAGCACATACACAACTTTCTTTTCTTTCACCAGACGTGAAATGTGAGTTCATGAACCCAGGAGGTTCTGTCAAGGACAGGATTGTACTAGCCATGATGAATGATGCACGGAATGATGGAGTTGTGCATGATAAAACAGAGTTTGTAGAGGCCACATCAGGAAACACAGGCATCGGGCTTGCATTGAATGCCACTTTGATGGGTAACAACTTTGAGTAATTAAACACCTAATTCTAAATCCGCAAGGAAAAACAAATAAACAACCTCGAACAAATAGATAAGATCTTATCAAAAATATATTTATAAAGTGATTTATTAAAAATGACGTATTTCTTTCCAGGAAATAAATGTACTATTGTAACACAAGATAAAAACTCTTCGGAAAAAGTAAATACGATGCGTTTATTGGGAGCTGAAGTAATCCAGACTAAGAACGGAGCCCTTGAGACCGCCATCGCTCGTCGATTGAAGGATGAAAACCCTGACACTGTTGTGATACTTAACCAAGTAAGAACGAATGTAGTTACCAAATAAATATATACTCACCCTGAAAAACACAGACACATACATGTTATAACATCCACTTTTAAGTGCCGTACACCTTTGTCAAGTTATATGTTCGGAAACACAAATTGATAGCGTAAACCAGCATTCAAAAAAATCTCTAAATCCTATTTCAGTTCGACAACGAAATTAATCCGAGAGTTCACTATGAGAACACAGGAGAAGAGATAGTGGCGGCTCTAGGGAAGGTGGACTTCGTGGTATTAGGTGCTGGCAGTGGAGGCACCTTGTCTGGTGTGGGCAGCAGGCTCAAGGAAAATAACCCAGACTGCAAGCTGGTGGCAGCTGAACCCGACGGTTCTATCATGATCAACAAGGACGGAAATCCCCATCCGTTTTTGGTAATTTACAGATTGATTCGCCAAAAAGAAGATAACCATCAGTTATCTTATCATCGAAAAAATAAATGATATATGGTTTGGGTGTGTGCCACCACAGAGGAAATGAAGTATAATGAAACCTCTCTCTACTTATTTTAACAAAATGCAGAATAACTGCACTATAAATATGTTGTTGTTTTTGTAGGTTGAAGGTATTGGAGGATCCGAGGCGTCAATTGTTTTAGACAAATCCCTGGTTGATCATGTTGAGGTAGTTACTGACAAAGAATCATTCTTGATGGCCAGGGAGCTGTCCAAAAAGGAGGGATTATTGTGTGGTAATTATCTGTTTTCATATTTTTCCCATAATCCAAAGTGGGTCGAAAAAACAATGCTGGTCTATTATAAATTTAGTTGTCGTTAACTTTAGAGTTATCATTTAGTTTAAACGCATATTAATGTTACCAGGTGGTAGTAGCGGAGCGGCCGTATGTGCGGCTTTCAAGGCTGTGAAATCACTGAGCATTGGCCCCGGCAAGCGCGTCGTGGTCATCCTGCCCGACGGTATCAGGAACTACATGACCAAGTTCGTCAGCGACCAGTGGATGGAAGCACACCGGTTCCTGGAGCCTCCTCAACATACAATGAAGTAAGGATTTTAAAATGATTTTTAAAATCAAATTTTTGCTAACATCATAATTATCAATCGGAAAAAGTAGTCAACTGGAAAAACGTCCCACCTTTTGTATGTCACACTGAAGTACTCGTTTCTCTAACTGATATTAATATTATTATTTATTAACAGATGGTGGACTAAACCAATCAGTAATTTGAACCTGTCCCGTGAATATCCCAAGATGCCATCAAACAGCACGTGTCATCAGGTCCTCGATGCTATGAGCGCGACTAACGCCAACATTGCAGTCATTGTGGATGATAACGGGTATCGATTCTACTTACAATCTATTTGCACAACTGCTATAAACTTTAAAACACATAGTTTTACGTATATCACCTATAGATTACAATAATAAATAACCAAAGCAAATCCATGTATGCACATGAACTTTTATGAGTATTGATACGAGTATGCATAAGACGTCATATCTGTAGTAAAATTAAAATCTCAATTCATTTATGGAAACAGAAACTCGTGATTAAATTTTATTTGATGATAATTAATAAGTGAAATTAATCTCAATATTCTTTTTAAAATTACTTTCAGCCATTACGTGGGAGCTGTGTCCAAAAACAATCTTCGGAATAGAGCGACGAACCCCACCAAGTTACCCGGCCAGGTGTCCGAGGAATATGACTTCCAGGACGTGGTGACTAACCATCTAGACAAGCACGTCTTCACTCTAGCAGATAACGCTGTGCCTGAGAACACTACCATCGGTCTTCTGTCCCGTGTTTTGGACATCACTCCGTACGTGATTATCGTGACAAAAGATTCTGATAATAGTGGTAAGTCGAAAATAAATAAGTAAAACAAAATTATAAAGCTAAATTACAATAGTATGTAGGTACTATAGAAGTACTAGACATATTCAAAATAGACTCGCGTGTGTGCTCACTTTGCATATAACATAAATAGAAAAAAGGCCCAGTGTTCGATAACTTTTATTTCACGAATTCCTTGGACGACTTGGAGGAGAACCAAAGGTTTGTTTAAACTATGTATTGACCGTACATGTATTCGTATTTGTTCCAGCATTCTGCACCCCGACTAATGTGGTGACTGGCGATGATGTCCTTGACTACATTTTCGAATCTCAAAAAACAATTAGGTAATTAAATATCAACTTGTACCGTAATATTCTTCAGACAATACAAGATAAAATAAAATAAATTTATTTCGATTTTAAATGTTTTAATACCTTACCTTGTTTTTATACTTTCATTACCTATACATATAGATTTTTCGTAGACGTTTCACATAAGCTCCACACAAATAGTGTCAAACTTCAATCACGTCAACCGATCAATTATTGAGACTAGCCGTTTTAAATTAAATTAGTACAGAACAATAGTTTATCTGTATGTATTTCATTAATCCATATAGGCGTCCGTATCTGTATAATGATGAAATATACAAATTTAGTTACATATTATTGAAGTTACTTCCGATACAAAAACCTGTGTCAAAATAATGATACACACTATAAACAATTTTGTCTCTCGATTTAGGTACATTGCGCAAAGTCACTTATCTCGGTATAAACAAAATAAACGAATGGTCAAGTTGTACCAGTACTTACGAATACTAGATATGCCAATTAGTTTTATTATACATGCACAAAAGTTAATAACTGTAAAAAGTCACATTATAATGATGTTTGATACTATTGTTGAATATCGTTTCCCTTGACTTCCCACGTATAATGCTTATAAATGGCGAAAAATACTTAAAATCTTGATAAAATAGTTCAACTGTTGCTAGATTGAATTTATATTAAGAAAACCAACTGTTCATTGTTTATAATGTTCAGTTTCAGAAGAAAGAAAAGTAAATTGAATTTGAAAACAAAAAGTTTTTGTCGATGTTTGTTACTTAATCACTGAACGGATGGACAAATCTAGATGTAAATTTAAGAAGTATAACATAGGATATTTTTGGTGGCAAAAGTTAGTTAGCACTAATAAATATTATTTTCTTATATGGGATAAACCGGTAAACGATCAGACACGTCACCTGGTAAGCAATCGGCGTCCGAAATACCAAAAGCGTAACAAGTACGATGCCTTTTGGGGGTTAGGAATCCGAGGATGGTTGGGGATTTTTGGATTGGGGAGATTGAGGAGCGGGGTAACTGGGACTCCGGTAACCTCACTCACATAACGCAAGCGTTGTTCTACGTCGCTTTTTTGTGAGGCCATTGTATCACTCCGTTCGAGCCGACCCATTCGTACCGAAGCATGGCTCTCCCACACTTGAATATAACGTTATATCTATTTTATGACATTATTGATGCGAGATAGTTACAGTAAAAAATACACTAGAGGACAAATGTCCTGCGACACATGTCGCCAGCGACGTTGGGTGATGCAGCGCAACGTTGCCGGACTTTGGTCGACATGTCTGGCAACATCAACGTCACTGTAGACATATAGTGGCGCATCGTCACCGTCTGTCGGGTGACATCGGCCGGCTTCGCTCGACATGTCGCCGATACATGTCTTGGGACATTTGTCCTATAGTGTATCCTTAACTTAGTGTTTATGTTAACGACAAGCGGTTGTTTTGTGTGCGTGTCAACGTGATTAAGTTATTAAAATATCCTGAGAAAATATGACCAATTTCAGCATCAGTAATATGTCTATCACACGATCACATCGCGCGTCGTCGTGTCGTCATCTGTTTATTATGACGATTATCATTAATTCATTATATAAGCCTAATCTTATCAGCAGGATATAATCGTTGATATTACTTCCTTAAACTTTTATTGGTCACGAAGTCACGATATTTATTCAATCGTGGTCATCTAGAAAGAACGAAATTAATGGAAACGTTGAGTTGAATAAAAAAATGTTGTCTGGTACAACGGTAAACCGTAGCGCGTAGCAACGTTTTACCGATATCAACCTTGTAGGCGCGTCAGCTACACGGAATAAGTTAACACACTATAATACATTCTATACTCTGCACCTAAGGTTTCGTATTGTTTGCACTCCTACGAGATTAGTTAAACTACCCGCTACGAACCATGTGCTACGAACTACGCGCTACGAACTGCGCACTACGAACTATGTTCTTCGAACTACGCGTCAAGAGTTACGGTCGTAGTATTTCACTGTATAAAATTAACTATTTAGGGTTTTAGGGATTTAGGGTTTGGTGGACCTATTCAAGTAAAATCTAAATTAGCCACAAGCGGAAAGAATTTGGATTCGTCTGGAAAGGTAGAAAATCTCTATAATAAATTCTTAGATACGTCTCCTCTACCGAGTATTCGATATCACATCACATTTGTTTTACTGGGAAGGCGTAGCATGAAGAGCAGTACGTTAATACAGACAACTTACAGCTGTTGTAAGGTTATCTTACAATTAGTGATTAAAATACGATCCCTCTTTATCTAATCGTCATAATGTAACGTCACGCCACATTTTTCCACAATTTGTAGCCAGAACTGCATAGATATTGTGTACATTACATTACATAACCGACAAGGTAGACAGACGATCCGAGCTATTGGAAATCGTAGGTCGCAGGTTGCTCTTCTTCGGCCGATCAGAAAGTCATTGCATTAGGAAGATGAGTAACTGCTACGATTATTCTTGTGAAATTAGCATTTATATCAGAAAGCAAATAAAGTACCTACACATTTTAAGACCTACCTTATTGCCAAACACAGCATACAGGTTAAATTTAATTGTTGCGAATAATTGTTTTCTTTCAGAACTATATAATTTTAATATTAGAATTCTTGTGATATTGACCGGGCGCGATGGGGAAAAGCACGAACAAGTCGCGCCTCGGGAGTTCGAAAGCCCCATGTAGAATTCTGTCGAATAGATTATTTTACACCCTTCTTCTTATCTCATTAGGATTTTCTCCTGTGTCGTGGGTGCGTTAACAAACATACAAGTTCGGCGGCCGGTTGCCCAGCCACCGCACCAACTGTGCAGTCACAACTTAGCTGACATTATTTTAAAGAATCTGTTATCTGAAATAAACATCGTCTATGGCACTGTCTGCCCATCGCAGATAGGTAGGCACTTTATCCATTGACTAAACACATAAACAGGCTTATCTCTACATACGTATGTACTTCAATCTGTGCAAATAGTCATTTTCTAATCACATGAAAATCCATGTATGTACAACTGCTGGTGATAAAACTGTTTCAAGCTAAAGAAAGGCATTTTTAATATCATGGTTGCTGTTTTTGGTTCTTAATTCCGCTCTTATTGAATTGCTTTAGTAAATGCAACGTTTTAATCTAACTGCTATCGTTAAAGATAGCAGAAAACACTATCTCTTCGCTTTTAGAATGCCTTGTGTGTAGATGAATGAAAATTATTTCAGGTTGTTTATTCAGAATGTAGTGATGTCCTCGGTTATATATGCAACCTACCTACATGAACACAGTAAAGCCCAACCTAACGCAACTTACTTCTTTTTATGATTTCACGCTTTATACACGGTTTTCGAATTTTACTAACACATAATGCTCATTATTTACACTTGTATTAACTGTTGTTGGATTTTATGTAGCCTGTAAGGTAGGTAGGTACTTATACCTATTCTTATTTATCAAATAAGTATGCTAACCAGTCAACTGAAATAAATGTATTATATATTTTCTGTGATAATATTTTATGTTTAATACCTACATAAATTTCCAGTAGGGAATCCATATTTTACAATGAACATTACCTTCTAAAGCGCTACGAAAACGTTGCAGAACTGGCACTAGCGACGTTAACGCTACGAATGCGTAAATAAATATTTACAGGTACATTACGTTATGTAGATAGCAAATAAAACATAATTAAGTTAATTAACTTGCATAGAAACGTAATTTTTCGATATGAGAGTCGATCAACTTCTGAAAAGATTGCTCTTCCCGATCGAAACTTAGCGCCGGCGCTGGCGCTGCTAATAACCCGTTAACCCTGAAGACCGTTACGAAGGCCACAGATCACATACAATACTTAGAAACTTGTTTCAATAAACATTACATATTTATGGTAATTTTATCCAATTGTTTACTACCTACGTCGAAGGGACAACTTCCTATAGTATAGGTACCATACACTACCGCAATATAAATATGTAATTAGTTAGTCGTTATACTTAATCGACATACGATGATCCTTATGATCGCACGTTTTAGCTAAGTTCGCAGTCACGTGATACGAATTTATTTGAGACCGGACCGTGTGACCGTTTTCTATTACATAAAATGCGTTAACTGAAGAGCACGATTCCTTCGCGTTGTCCTTAGTCAGTCGTATCGGTTTCCTTTACTGATGCATTGGTTCTTCTCTTAAATAATTTCTAAACCAATAATAGACTCTGTTCATAAATCAAAGTTAATAGGTATAGTATCGATACTGTGATATATACTAAGGTATACATTGATCTTCACGATAAGAAATACAATTATCGACGTTATGATTTGTGATAAAAAAAATACATTATCGAACATAAATATTGCTATAAATTGAATCGTGCATGCTCGCCTTTATAAGTCCTATATAAACTTGCATTCAACGAGTGCTCGCAGTCGTAGTGTTTTTAAAATTTTGAAAATTAACAGTCTCGGATTTCTACAATGAACGTCAGTCATAATGTTCGGTAAGTTAATTTAAACCTTATTATCGTCCCATAGAGCTTTCTAAAGTTTGATTAATAGTCAAGATCGATTTCTTCCTAATGAGAGACATCCGCACAACTTTATTTAAGTATTCTTAGTAAACTATTTTTTTAAATCAATTAAAAATGATTTCACTCAAAATTTTTCTTTCAAAAGTTTTAGGAACAAACTATTAAAACTTTTTCTATTTATTATATGACCTAGATTGAAACCTTGAAACTATTTATAAAAAATATTAGATGCCTAGGTACAAAGCTGAAATTTTTGTTAAAGCTGTCTTGTATCTATTGCCTCTATTTTTCATGGTTTGTTTGCTACCACAACATTATAATGAAACAAGCGATGACTCCAATTATTCTAAATAACAATTAGTTATTGTAGAATTACAAGGGAGAATTCCTTTAGGTAATATTATTTTGTGTATTATTTAAACATATGAAAACTTACATAATTTTCCAAAATAATGTGACAAACATTATCGTAATTGATTATGATAATATTTAACATTGACTGCAAGGATTAAGCAGAAATTTACTTACGTAGACATGAGTGAAATTTAAAATAGGTAATATGAACCAAATATTATTTCCTTCTATAATAAAAATGCCTCTATTTCTTCTCTTTGGTGTCTCATCTTTCTTCGGAATGCTAGTACGTCGGAAGTTTACAGTCGTAGCAATATCATCTAATTTGCTAGTTCGGTACCTGTTTTCTGAATAAATAGTAGATGAATGAAAATCTTCATAAAAAAATGTTTAACCCTAAAATATTTCAGGAAAAAAAAAAAAAATTTTCGAGCCACACTTTGTAATAAATTACATAGGTACTTTGTAATAAAACGTACTTACATCGATTACAAAATATTTTTTCAGTGGAAAACCTGTATACGACAACATACTGGAGGTTATCGGGCACACGCCTTTGGTGAAATTAAATCATATACCAAAAGACCATGGATTGCGATGTCAAATGTGTGAGTACTATTTTGTATTATAGGTAGTATTAGACCCCGCACCGTGTAGTATCGTCAATGATTGCTGTAGCATATGTATGTATGAAATTAATTATTAATCAGGTACTTGTGTCCTTGCCTTCATGAAAAATGACTATTTGACATAATTTCACTGTAAAGTATCAAGCTTTTGCAAAATGTTCGGGTATTTTGGTTTAAATCTATACTATCTAATATTACAAAGCTGAAGAGTTTGTTTTTTTGTTTGTTTGTTTGAACGCGCTAATCTTCGGAACTACAAGTCTGATTTGAATAATTTTATGTTACATAGCGCATTTATCGAGGAAGGATATAGGCTTTAAAACATCACGCTTCGAATAATAGGAGCTGAGCAGAGCGTGTGAAACCGCGCGAAAGTAGCTAATGTACTATAATTTTTAGCCATATCATAAATGAGATGGGTAAAAGAAGTAAAACGGCTAAACCTACTTACTTCCACAACCAACTATCGAAGTAATTCGTATATTGTGCGAGCGAGCAATGATTTCAATAAAATCTGTAAAACTTACTGTGGCGCGCAGGCAGCTGAACCTTGATTACTTTAATTCATAGTGGGTACCTATACGGCCCTTAATATTTGGAGCAATTTGTACATCATTATAGATTGCCTGTGGTTTAATGAGTTTAATCAGTAATTTTAATACTGTGTTGACATGTTTCTACTCTCTGTGAGAAACCAGTACCTAATTTACTTTTTGTTGTATACCACGTTATATTTAATCAAATTGGATACCTAGCTGTTGATTTTCCAAATGTATAAATAAATAAAAAAAAAATCTATAAATAAACCGATTACTTAAGCAGTTGAGTCAGCGATTAACACGAACAGATTAAAATAAATCAACATCGCGTCGAATCGCAAGCTGTATATTTACGTAAATACAAATTAGATTATTTATTACCTACCTACATATTTTATGTGTTTTGTTTTGTGATGTATAGCCACGGAGAGATATATACAGCCACGGAGTATTTATTCATTATTTTAGTTGTATTATGTTACCTTCATCGTCGGATTAACTCTCAATTTCAATTAAGATTAGAAATATTGACACCAATTGTTTATTAAATCATTCAAACAGAAGTCACTTCGACTGTACTAATAAATCACATCGATTGATAGTCAATATTTATATGTGCACAGATAAACATCTGCAGGTAGACATCAGTCATATACATAGGTACTTGTCATGTATTAGATATAACTTTATCTTTGTCGTCACAAAGTTGATTATATTGCTCCACGCGTTTTCGCCAATTAACAACATTTCACGCAACTAATGAATGGATCTCAATGTATAACACACACACACACGCACACACACAATATTTGATAGAACGAAAAACAATTAACACATTAAACGCCGTGGTGGTCACCGGTGACCAACATTAGCGGAGGATTTGCCCTCAACAGTTTTCTATTGGCAGTCAAAGCCAAGAACATATAAGTAAATTTTATTAAATACTTGCTTCTGCCAACGGCTTAGCCCGCGATCCCAGGGGTAAAATGGCTATGTAATGTACTTCAGACCATAATCTACCTCTGTTCCGAAATTTATTCTGGTCCCTTGAGTCGTTTTAATATGACTGAGTAACAAACATGCACACACCGCCACACAATAATAATCCTTATAGCATGATTCAGTATCCACGCGCGTCGGCCGCGATGGCTTATTACCGTATTTCATAAGTTTGGTGTTTCTATATCGATTTCTACCTCTATAATTCTTTTTTTATTGTATAGGTAATAATGTAAACATATTAAATTAGGGATTAGTGACAGTATTATAAACGTAAGAGTAAACAAATAAAAGCAGAAACCGAACTGCTAAGCTATCAGGAGTTACACGTGTTATTGTGAGTAAACCACAAATGATAGACATATGCTGTTCCGGAACATTTTTTAGATAATATGTAGAACATTTCCATCATACACCATTTCTTTGTCGCTTTAACTATCAAGGCTGCACACGCGACGGTAGCTTGAAAAATGAAGTAACTTCTCCAGTTTTCCCAACACTTCCCTTCACTGCTCTGCTCCTATTGATTGTTCCGCACTGGAAAGTATACTATAACCTCCCCAGGAGTATGAAGAATAATTGTACCAAGTTTCGTTAATATCAAAATCAAAAAGTAGTTTTTGTTTCTATAAGAGACATACAGACAGACAGACAGACAAAAATTTTACTGATTGCTATTTTGGCATTAGTATCGATCACTAATCACCCCCTGATAGTTATTTGGAAATAATATATTTCATGTAGGTACAGAATTGACCTCTCTCCAGATTTATTTTAAGTATAGATATGAGTATCCAGTTGCATTTTTCTTAGATGTGTAATTAATCTGTAAATTAGGGGTAACATATAGTTTTGTTGTAGATGCAAAATGCGAATTCACCAACCCAGGTGGTTCGATAAAGGACCGCATTGCACATACGATGATCCAAGAAAAAGAACACGAAGGAGTCATCAAACCTGGCGTAACCAGATTCGTTGAACCCACTTCTGGGAATACTGGCATTGGAGTTTCTCTCGCAGCTGCAGTTAAAGGTTAGCTACCTAGTTAAGAAATTAGTTATACCTAATACAGCACTGGACCGGTCCAGCAAACCCATTTGAGGTGTTATAGAGGTATATTTATTATATAGCAATTATTATTATATAGCAAGACCATATTATACAGCAACTAGATATTAATGTCGTAAATCTACAGTTAAAACTTCTATTTCTGTTACATGTTAGTAACCAATTTCGAAGACACTTGATGATGGTGTGTGTATAAAAAATAATAATAATCTTAACGTATTATCAGGATACAAATGTACCATTGTTACCCCCGACAAAAACTCGGATGAGAAGATGAGCACGATGAACTTGCTCGGTGCTGAGATCATCCAAACTCCATCCAATATCCACTACCAGGATCCCGGTAGCTTCGTATCGATCACCAGGCAGATACTGGAAGAAGACCCCAATGCTATTTCTTTGGATCAGGTAAATTACCTACATTTAGATTAAACAATAAGTCCCCATCAGTCATTAGTCAGTCCCGAGGCCTGCGTTATGTCCAAGCGCGATTTCTCTGTGATAGAGAGGAACACAAGACAGATTTACACTATTCCTTGAAGGCAGACCGTCACTGTGGCGAGTTCATAGATACTTCATAGCAGTCTTGGGCTATCTTCATGAGGATTTTCCACTTTTGGTTAAATAATAGAAAGAGAACAACAAGTGGTTAATCAAAAATATATACACAATTAAAATATAAAACCTTATATATGAATTGAAACTTTCTATTTTCTTATCAAAATGCCTTTTTCTTATTCTAGTGAGGGTTTCAGAGGCTCTTAGTTTAAAGTCTGAAGCAGGCTACGCGTCTGTCTAGGTATTTCATTGGAAATATTAAGAGACAGAAGGTGAAATTGGAATAAACTGTATTTATATTTTGTCCTCAGTATTCAAACCCATACAATCCTATGACACACCACGAGCATACTGCAGTAGAAATACTCGATGCTCTTGAATCTGTGGACATGTTTGTGATGGGCACCGGTACTGGAGGAACGGTCACAGGCTGTGCCAAGAAACTCAAGGAAAAGTGTCCTAACTGCATCGTTGTCACTGTCGATCCGCAAGGCTCTATCATATTCGACGAAGGCCCGCAATTTTCTTATTTCGTGAGTACCTATTTGCTTTAATTCTATGTAGGTATAGGTGTCATCCATAATATTAAATAAGTGTCAGTAAGTCTATAATATTTCACCTTCTATTATTTACAGGTAGAAGGAATCGGCGGAGACTTTGTCCCCGATGTTTTGGATAAAAATGTTATTAACAGAGTTATCAAACCAGATGATATTCACTCATTTAATATGTCCAGGGAACTTATTCGAAAGGAAGGATTACTTTGCGGTAAGAAATGTTAAATAACGTAGGGACGTTCTGAAACTAAATAGATGTACAAACACGGTGTCTACCAACAATTTGCTTAATCAATTAGTTAATTATTCAATTCTACGCAATCTTTCGATGATAAAATATAGAAATATTATGATTTGTATACATTCAGGGGGTAGTAGTGGAGCGATAACATATGCAGCCATTCAGGCAGCTAAGGATATGAATCTCGGACCTGACAAGATAGTGGTGGTCATCCTTCCTGATGGCATTCGCAACTACATGACCAAATTCGTCAACGATCAATGGATGGAGGCACATCTCTTTAAGCCAGTTCCAAAAAGGGACTTCCCGTAAGTTAAAAAAGAAAAAAAAATCCACATCACTGAGTATGCACCGAGTAACTTCTTTTAAAAAACGTTTTTATTTTTTCTGTGCATCTACGTTATTTACTACTTTTATAAATAGTTACTTGACTATATTATCATCCAATGTTCCAGATGGTGGACAAGGTGTATTTCGAATCTAAATATCATCCGCACTGTGCCTATGATTCCTGAGAACAGCACGTGCCTGGAGGCCATCACTGCTATGAACACTAAACATAACGTAGCATTCATCGTCAACGACGATGGGTACGTGAAAAGCTTGTTTTGGTAGATTGGTGGTTGAAATAAGCTGTTATTCTTACGCAATTTATATGGCTTTTTTATAACTAGGGATATAAATACCATCCGACAGAATTAGAAATATTTTTATTGAATAAAAAGCAGAGCACTGCACTAGCAGAGCCGTATTATCCCTAAGGCAAACTAGAGAAGTGCCTAGGGCGCCAGGCAAAGGAGCCCCAGACGCCACCAGACGCACTTTCCCATAAAGTGACGGCGGTACCAAAAAAATTGTCACTTAAATAAAATATTAGGCATTATTCTACACTATACAATTTTGAAAAGCCCGCACATACTCCCACTGAGAATTTAATAAAAGATTTCTTAATTCCAGATTGCTCAAGGGTGTTGTTTCAAAAGACAGTTTAAGAGCTGCAGCCACAAATCCTAAATGTAACATTCCACTCGATTTCCATGACAAGGCAATCAAACATGTTCTGAAGAAACATCACAAGATTATAGAAAATAAGGAAAACCCGACTGTAGGGTTAGCAGCGAGAATACTAGACATAGCACCATTTGTTGCAGTCGTAGAAGAATACAAGAATGGCAACAATAACAGTCCAGGTAAATTGTGGACCTACCGACTTATTTACTTCTTTACTTATAGTCATCATCATGTCAGCCATAAGACTGTCTGTCTGCTAATCTTCCACAACGACAATCCTTAAGTTCCTTTAATCAAATTTGTGGTTACATAGAAGTTGTACGCTGCGTTTTGCTTATGTAATAGAATTATAAATTTTCAATGGATGTTGTTTTCTTTCAGGTTTAATACCAAAAGGAATAATCACCTCGGAGGTAGTGCTGGACTTCATCTTGAAACATCAGACCAATATTTGAAGACCTAATTACTTATTATCCTTCTTTAATTTTACTATATCTACTCATTATTATTATAATTACTTTGTTTGTTTGTTTTCAAAAATGGGACCAAAGTATTCCAGTCCATTGGAAGGCCAAATACGAGGGGCACTTTTTGCGAGTTAACCAAATTAAGTACTAAAAATAAAAAATATGGCACATTATAACAAACAAACATTTACTTAACTACTAAATAACTAGTTCTAGATAAATTAGTTACTTTATAATATACAACTCTCGAAATGATACCAATCTAGACTAGAGCAATTTATTATTGCACTTATTACATTAAACATATACTTAGGTTTATAACAATTACATTGTGATTAATTACTTACTGACATTATTGAACAAATATTTATTGCACAAATACCTATTCTCTTTTATTTAAATTCTGAATCACCTATTACACAGACAGCCCTTTAAAGGTATGAACGCCGCCGATGTTAAGTGGCTCCTCCTAACAGTACCTATCACCTACAATCAATCTAGCGAGATATATCATATTTTTTTACACTACAATAAAAAGTAAGCGCTAAGTAAACAGAGTTAGAGCTCGTTCCCATTTGTCGGTTGTCGGATACGAATATTAATCGGAGATCGGCGCTTTTGTTCACACTTTGGTTAATAATCAGCTGTCGGCCGTGGCCGAAGCTACTGCCAATTTTCAATTTTAAGCGCTCTTCGCGGGGTGATTGTGCACGATGGACTTCGACGAAGCTCTTGTTGTTATGTATTATTATTTAAGGAGAAAACAACGACAGAGAGCAAAGGAAAGAAAATATTGGGTGCACTCAATCCTGAGAGAACGATTTAGTTTGGAAACATTCTAGAACTTAATAACAGAATTGAGAAGTGACAAAATCAAGATTTTCAATTATTTTAGGATGTCAATACCAAAATCTAATCTAAATCTAAATACATTCAACGACCTACTGACTCAAATAGGGAACCCACATTCGGCCCCGACACCCGAAAAAATGTGAGCCACGTTTTTTTTCAGGCGTAGAGGGCTAGCAAAACACCCGACATTTACGGGCAGCGCCGACATAAAATAGGTTTCCGATAAGTGTGAATAGCTTCATATAAAAAGTTCCGCCACTTGAACCTACGATTAATATTCCTTTCCGACATCCAACAAGTGGGAACGAGCTCTTAGCCAAGCTATTTGATATGCAGGTGAGATAATAAAATTTATTCAGTACTCTCTCTCTCTAGTTTTTCCCACATGTCTGAGGATCGTGGTCAGCATCTGGATTGCATCTGGAGCGGATAATCTAATTCCAGCGGTCTCTGTAAAGCGCTTCTCTTACGGACGTACAAAATTTAGAGGACAGGTCTCATTGCAAAACGCCCACGCGATCTCTTGCCTTCGGCGTTCCCAAGTGCATTCAGCTTCTCCAGGTTCTCGCCACCTCTGCGGACTGTGTGGGCAAAGTACGAAAGGATTAGCATTCGCCACCAACGCCACATTTCGAAAGTATCTATCCTCTATCTCTCGTCGCGGAGAACCTAACGGGTTACCAGGGCTCCGGCTCAACGTGCAGGAGAAGGAACAGGGTGGTTTTTAGTCAGTAAGAGTCTGACACTCCCTCCCTCACCTAGGCGGGAGAAGACATTTGATAATTTTTCCTCCTTAAAAAAATCCTCTGTCCCTCTCCCGCGCCAGTTTAGTCCACGTATCCACTCCATACAGGAAGATAGGAAATATCAGAGCTCGTATTTCGGGAACACAACTACCGTCATTGCTAATTTGGGAGCCCTAATTTTCCATGCTCTAATTTTCCAGCTCGATTTATTACTTACTAAACTAAGTATATTATTATGGTTTTTATTAAAGTACTAGCTGAGCCGGCAAACTTCGTACTACCTCTATTTTTTTCACCTTGTAAACCTTCCTTGGGCTTCAACAAATAATTCAAGACCAAAATTAGTCAAATCGTTACTGTACCTACCTACTCAAGTTTTAGCGAGACTAACGAACGGAAATTTATTTTTATTTAAATACATGATTTTGATTGATGATTTGATTACGAGTTATCTTTTGTAATCATTGTATACTAACTCAATTATTTTTGCACTAGAATAGGAATTTTTGGAGTTGGAATTGCGCACTGTCCTAAAAAATACGGTGCACATTCCACTATTGTAATTTTTTCTTCTTCTGCTGGCATCATACGTACCAGGCTAGAAACCACTAGCGCCATCTGGATCGATGTATTTTCCTATACTTAAATCTATGGTATTTAAGGGACAGACAGTTGTAAAGTAAATGTTAAGTTTATTTCACTGTGTGATTGACGGACGTTTGACGTTGAGTTAATTATTGCATGAGTCCGTGCGTAAAATAACGTGTAAACGTGAAACTGGAAATTAGTGTGAGTGAGAAGTTTATCTTGATCGCACGTCCCACTCGAGCAAACGAGAATCAAGAAGAGAGAACGCGTGTCTGTGTCCGGCAAGTGCACTGTCTGTGTAAACTGATATAAAAATCTGCTCATACGCAACGTGGTAGCCGATAAAGTGACTTGATCTTGGTTTGTAACTTTTATACAATTCCTACAATCACATAAAACTCTAAAATCGTTGATATATTTTTACAATAAGTTATTCCTTATCAGTCAGTTTTGTGTACCTAACCCAGAAGTTAATGAAACAATTATTTCATTGCCATAGAAGGACTTGCATTTGTTAACCGGATTTATGTTCAATAGGTACAAACAAAATAAATATAAAATGTCTAATCATGTGGAGGAAAACAGCACAGAAAATGTGGTCAGGAAGTTTTTTAACCTCAAGGAAATGCCGCATATCGTGAAACCCCTGTAAGTATTTATCAAAACAACTTTCTAACTTTTTTACACCAAATTATACACTTACTTCTTAGTATAGCCATCTTTTATGGTTACTGTGTTTATTGAATTAATCAAAAATATTTTCTAACCGGCTTAAGTGCATACCATATAACTTTATTGTATATGTAATACAAATTGTGAACACATTGAATTTTTTTGAATACCTGTTATATCTTTTTAGTGACAGAAACCAGAAAATCCATCCTCACATTTTAAACGCTATTGGTAATACTCCTTTAGTGAAACTCAGTAAAATACCTAAAGATGAAGGCATAAAATGTGATATGTGTAAGTAGTTTTACATATTTTAAATAAGTTTTAAAAGAATGGCATGATACCCTATTTATTATGTTGTGCTAATGTCTGTTATCTGTCTGCAAAGCAAATATTTTCATGTGAAACCAGTCTGATAAAACTACTTTTATCAATTATAGAAGATAGTTAAATAAATACTTCTAAAGAAAAACCTTTTTAAATCATTGTCTGTTGTACAACCAAGGACGTGGGAAATAGGCAGACACAATGCCACTTACAAATGAATGGAGCACCAAGATGTCAATAGGTTGCTTAGTGTGCGTGTGTAATGGGTGACCTACTATTGACAGATGTCCTTTGTGTCAATGTGTGTATCTTCTTCATGTAAATCTGTAATTACTGGGTGCTACAGTTGTTGTTTCAAGAGACTATCCACTTTTTTTCCAACATCTTAAGTATAACAGACAAATAATATGACATTGTTTTAAGATCCCTTATTTATGAACCAATTGAACTTTTTATCAATAAAATTTTATTTTTTAGATGCAAAATGTGAATTCTTGAACCCTGGTGGTTCAGTGAAGGATCGCATAGCTTACCGCATGGTGCTTGATGCTGAAGAGAAGGGCATACTGAAGCCTGGCAAGTCCGTCATTGTGGAACCTACATCTGGTAACACTGGCATTGGACTAGCCCTGGCTTCTGCTGTCAGAGGTAAAGATAACTTGGATATATCATACATTGTCTATGTATCCTATTATATTGTAAACTTAAAATCTTATAAGAAGAAAATTAGATACTAGTTAATTTTTACATAAATAATTATGAAACCTTTACTTTCAGGTTACAGATGTATAATAGTATTACCAGAGAAAATGTCTGATGAGAAGGTGAACACCTTAATAGCACTAGGAGCTGAGATTATCAGAACACCCACTGAAGCTGCCTGGAATGATCCCACCAGCAACCTGATGGTAGCCCACAGGCTGTCAAAGGAGATACCTGATGCTGTTCTATTAGACCAGGTAAGTGTAAAAAAATATATTTAATTTTCTATCAATGAGTGCTACGTTATAGTGGCATTATGTGCCGTAATGTACACCTCTGCTTACCCCTTCAGGGATAGAAAGCGAGATGTTATGTTTGTCTTCGAATAACTTAAAGAAAATATACTCATTAAGAATAGAATACTTAATCTATTCAGCAATTTCTTTCAAAGTTTTTATTCTGATTTAGATGATATTTGCTTTATAAAATTAGGTACAATGTGTCCAATAAATTATTACAATTTTCCTTCTAAGATTGATCTGATGTCTTTACTATAATATTCCCCCATAGTAGTTATTTGCATTTCTAATTGTGTTTTCCTTCAATACCAGTATTTTCCTGTTCGAGTGTGAATGTAAATAGTAAATATTTATTAATTGGAGCTCTTTATCAAAATAAATCGTTGCATTGAATAATATTAATATTTATGAATTTATCTATTTACTGAAAATCTAAGAACATATGATAGATTGAGCACTGCGCTGCCGCATACCCAGTCACTACACCCCCATTCATTCAGGCCATTCATCCTAATCATTCAGGCCCCAAGCTGAAGTCTTACTAATAACCTTCCTATTTCAACTCCACCTTTGTACCACTTAATGGTGACCTAACCCGAAACCCTGGTGGTCTACCAGAAATAAAATCTAATATATAATCAACATATGATACATATTACATGTAATGTGATTATTTCAGTACAACAACCCTTGCAACCCGCTGGCTCACTACGACGGCACGGCTGAAGAGATCCTGTGGTCTTTGGATGATGACGTAGACATGGTGGTAATGGGTGCAGGCACCAGTGGCACTGTCTCTGGCGTTGGCCATAAGATCAAGGAACGCTGCCCCAAGTGCATTGTGGTCGGCGTCGATCCCTACGGATCCATACTTGCCCAACCTGAGGAGTTGAACAAAACAGACGTGCAGATTTATGAGGTAACTATTTAAGTAGTCTATTATGCCTAGTTTAGTAGTCCATTTTTAGGTTCATCTAATTGATGGCTTTTTTACGAACGATTCGCATTAACGAAAACGTATCTCTTTTTATTGTTTCGATTTCAAAATCATTACCAAAGTAATATCTCACAATTTGATTACAATTTAAAGGTATCTGACACTCTGTTTTGCCTTAATTATAATTATTAGCTGCTTTCAACAAGATGAGAATAGCCAATGTAGGACTACCTACCAAATAACAAAACCGTTTTTCTATTTAATATCGATTTTCTTTCTTCAATTTATATTATTGTTTTCTCAACTCCATTCATATTACGAGACCATCACGGCTGTGAGTATTGCACCAAGCGGGAAATTAACAATCATCAATATTATATTACGGCGCGTAAACGAACATTAGGTATGCGCAGCAATGCTGTATCGTTATCGAGTACTGATAGGCACTGAATGTGCTAATGTATAGTCCGATTCACAAAATGTGTGCCTCTTATTTATAGCACGTTGACTCTACTCTCTAGGAGTAACTAGGTATAATACTACCAAATTTTCTCATCTTATTTATTCTTTAATCTGTACTAATAACAACGAGACCACATAAAGGATGCCAATGCTTCTGATTATCCGAAATATTCTAATCGGTCTTATAATGTAACATACCCAAAAATAAAAAACTAGTAAGCCAAAGTCTATTTCACTGTGTAAAAATGGAGCGTCAAAACTTATTACAACACTTATTGACTATTTTAAAATTAACGATATTGGTAAATATTCACTATAATGGGGACCATAAATATTAACTATAATACAAGTAAATATAACTATGAGAGCTGTGTGCCACTTTTTAACAGTAAATAATGCTTAACTTATAAATACAACATGATGGTTCTTTTGTATGTGTTGCGCTACTTTTGTTATGCTTAGCATAGATAGGACATGTTTAATGCTAATGAGCCCTATCGTGGCACCATCATACGCTACGCATACCATGGTCGTGTTAAAACGAATCTCGCAGCGATAATCAATTCAACACGAGTCAAGTGGAAATAGCATACCATGACCTGTGTGACGACGTTCCATACAGATTGATCAAAACGCTACGATAAGCCACAGTTGTTTTGGTTATACCCTATGACGTTTCGACAAATACATTAACGTATGAAAATATTTTTCATTCCCCAAGTTTAATACTTTCTTACATCATCCATCCTTTGAACATAAACTCAGCATTCGTTACAAACACAGAGTTATCAGTATTAAATGATAATTTATTAAGATTTACATGTTTATAAACTTAGTTCTTACATAAGCGGGTTCATTGACGAATTCAATATAATAATAATTCTTATTATTTTATTATTAACTTCGACATTAATAAGATTTAAATGCTCAAATATTTTTTAGATTCTATGACGCAAATCGGAATTAAATGGCAGTATTTTTTGCTAAGAACCTACATTTAAATAATCTTAAATATGGTTTTTAACCTTTGTGTTGTTTTTTAAGGTGGAAGGCATCGGTTACGACTTCCTTCCAGCCTCCCTCGATAGAGGTGTGATTGACAAATGGATCAAATCAGAAGACCACGCCTCCTTGGAAATGGCCCGAAGACTTATCAAAGATGAGGGATTACTTTGCGGTAAGTTGCCCTACGTTTAAAAATTATTGGGCAACTCATCACTATATAATTCATAGGACAAAATATCATACAATCCTCTAATTTTCTGAGGGGAAAAACGAATCTAGAGAGGTAGCATGACAATCGAGATCGAGAGTGAACCAGTTTATACTAGGTGGGGTGGGCGTGGTCAAGTGTTCGCCAGTCTTACGAAAACAAAACTCTTTTAAAAACTTTTGCTATTATATTTATATTATCCAACATGAAAAGATAGAGCTGTGGAACACAGCTCCATCTATGATATCTATGATAGAGCTGTGCTCCACAGCTCTATCATACTCCAAATCGAGATTTCAATAATGTGAACCTACTTGACTTACACAACAAACTCTTTTATGTCTATGACTGCTTCGTCATGCCACCGCACTCGGTGGCACTTGTGACCACTGTCACAAGTGCGACTGCTAGGTAATTCGGGTTCGATTCCCGGGTTGGGCAAAGTACTACTGAGTTTTTTTTATATAAATTCTCAGTAGTAGCACAGAGCCTGGAATTGTGCCAGGTATATGGCAATAGGCTCACCCCCTATTCCGTCGGACTCTTAACATAATAGTGTGTTACATTATACAGTGGCATTAAGTGCCGTAATGTGCACCTCTGCCTACCCTCTTCGGGGTGAAAGGCGTGATATTATGTTATGTTTATGTTATAAACCTACTTAATTTACAAAACAAACTCTATTTATAAAATTCCAGGTGGAAGCAGTGGTTCTGCGATGTGGGGTGCTATCCAGGCAGCTAGGTCGTTGAAAGAAGGCCAGAAGTGTGTAGTGCTGCTACCCGACAACATTCGCAACTACATGACAAAGTTCATATCTGACCAGTGGATGGAGGCCAGGAACTTCCAGCCTTTAGTCGTGAAAGAACACCTTCCGTGAGTATTTCTCCATATATGTAGCTCTGCATTAATTACTTAATTTAGAATTTAGTTTCGTAAGTTACACGCGCTTTGTAGCTAGCCAAAAGTATTCGTTACGTCACTCCAGTAAATGAATTGGAATAATTACGTATCGAACTTTTCGACCAAACTGAAAACGATAACTGAGCCTAGTTGTAGCCATTAGTGAGCACTAGTTTTTGATCCTGTCATAACATTTTCACTGTTTTTTGTTGAAAGATGTTGTTGACAATAGCATTTTATCAGACTAATGACAAAATGAAGTATTTGTATAGATTAGATACCTAAACTGATAATATTACAAGATTACATACATTACATTAATATTAAGAACTTAAACAAAAAATTGTAAACCGCTTTTCGAACATAAGCTAGGTATGTATATGAGAGAAAAAAATAAGCTTGCTAATTATCAAGTGACAACAAATACCTTATCAAAGGCCAACAATAAAAACACTAATGTTGACCTTCCTCATAGATAAGTAATAATCAATTTCATGAAAATTACGCCATTATTAAACATAATCTCTGCTTAATGTCAACATGTAATTGCAAAATTATGGTCACAGTGTCAAGATGGCATCGTCTTAATAAGAGCACTTTGGCACATGTTCGCGATAACAAGGATAACGATTTTAATAACAATAAGCAATAAAAATAATGTGTTTGCACGTTTACATAGATACCTAGTAACCTTGGGTATACGTACCTATTCGGATAGTCAGGATAAATAAAAACGGGAGTCGCGTAACTGCACTAGGGATAGCTTTTCGAGTGCTTTAAAAAAATGTATCATCAGCAACTCGTGACGTCCAGTCCACTATTGTAGTACATGTAAATGAATTTGCCATAATCAGACGATTTGGATATCGTAGTCTAAAATGTTCGGGTTTGCCAAAGAGCGCTACTTCTTGGCATTTCTCGGTCTCTATCAAACGTCTCTATCAAAACTTAGTCCCGTTTATTAGTTTTAAAATGGGGGTATTTTACCATTATCGCACGATTTAATAAAATAATGAGTACAATGAATTTTTCTGCACTCAGTTTTCTGCTATCTTGAAGGCCTTTTTGCACTCCATTTTTTAAAGCGCTGACAACAGTCGTGTCTTGTGCAAAGGTCATAAGGTTCAAATTTTGTTGTAAAATTCTTATGAAATCAGTAGATATTGTTATTGTACGGCTATTGGTGGTTTTTCTACTATTCCGTGATTATAACAGTACAATGTTTTTTCTCTATAAAAATATAATTTGTTATCTAATATCACGCGATTTCTTTACGCGGAACAAGCTACATTGATACCAACTGTCTTGATTTTTATTGCGCATATTTATGCAATATTGATTTCAACCATGTTCATTGTCATGATGTCAACGTCTTGCCATATTTGCGCCTTGTGATTGACATGCTTCATAATATTAATTCAATAACAATAATAGATGTTTTTGTTTATGCATCTCTGCGACTACTAGTCTAGTTAGATCCAGTCATTATCATAACACTACAAATAATATGCATTGCAACGTGCAAACATTTATATGTAGGTATGCTTATTTATTTTGGTATATTGTTGAATTACAACTGTCAAATAGCCGCAAGCGCATCTACCGAGTATGGATAGCATGGATATTCAAATTCAATTATCTCAGGCATTCTTTTTGGCATTTCCAGTTTTCGAAATTCAGTTATATTATTAACCTCATTACATGAGCCTTATAACTGGTGTGTTATTAATTATCGAGAAATGTTAAGAATTTGTCTTACCTATTTCTACAGCAATTCGGAAACATTATATGTGGATGGTGGCCAAACGCCATCCCATTAACAAAAAAAATCTAATTTTCATTTGTGTCTAGATGGTGGAGCAAGCCAGTGACGGAGAATATGGTACAGAGCATCAAGAGCGTGTCGCATGACAGCTCGCCCTCGCACGCGCTCGCCACTCTCAAGGAGAGCGGTGCGCCTGTGTTGAGTGTTGTCAATGATAAAGGGTAAGAAAGCAATCCACACAAAGAAACAGGCCCTATGTCACGAGACATGACTATAATTTAGTACACCCTACTTGTACGTTAAACTATTATCAAGTTCGAGGCTTTAAGTATAATCCTCAGATGTTTCAATCCAAAGTAAGAGGAGATAATTTTAATTTCGATATTCTGTCATATTCTAATCAAACTATTTCGTACATTTTCTACAAAGTGTAGAAAACTAATATTTGACAATGTCTGTCAAAAAAAAATACCAAGCACAATGTTTTTACATTGAGGTTTGACATCTTTATAATCATTCAAAAAATAAACATGTTGAAATTTTCTAGTTATTCTTTGCTATTAGATGAATATATCTAATGTTATTCCTTTGTCTGTGCGTGGCACTCTATACACTAATAGTAGTATATTTCATTGACCATCTGATAAGTGAGGACCCAATTTATACACAAAAATAAGAAAACCCAGCCCAATTACAAGAACCATAAAAATATGCTTGTTTAGCTATAATATCCTCATCATATATTATATACTTCTACAAGTGACTTATGTAAATTCAATAAGAAATGTCTTGTACTATTTATAATGACTGAAAACACCAAAGTTGGTTCCAAATAAAGGTAGCAGTTTGTCATACAACTAAGTTTAAATTGCGTGGGCTTCGAACCACTGTAAGCCTGAAGGTAAAAAAATATGCAGCAATGGTTGTGGTAATTTCTAAATTACCTAAGCAGGAACCCATCTTCAAGTTTTTCAGAACAGATGCCGACTATTCCAAGTTTATACTGATGAATTTATTATTTATCCTTCTAGGTCTGTGATCGGCGTGTTCACTGCAGACAATGCACGTAAAAGACTGGTAAATCTGTCAGGCTCGTTAGCGGAAAGTCTCGAAAAATTCACAGTGAAAAAGTTCTACAAGGTGGATCTCACTCTCAAGCCCACACTAGGGTTGGTGTCACGGATCCTCGACATTGCTCCTCACGTAGTTGTGGTTAAAACTGGTATGTATACTTGTGTGTCATGTAGTTTTATCTAATCCTAAAGCGTGGCAATGGTTGTCCACCTTTGAATGACGAGGCAAAATCAAAGTAGCCCAACCCAATGATGAAATGGCTATATTTATTTTTATACGTTACACATAAGCGGATAGCAAACTGTGTAATTATATTTTATAATAAAAATACCAATATTGTTGTGTAACATATTTTTTTATTTGCCTGTCATAGACGCATCTACACACATCGAGAACCCTGTTGGAGTGTTCACCTCGGAGAATCTGCTGACGAGTATCTCTACAGTATCGAAAATAATGAATGGAAGCTAAAACTTATAACTTTAACTTTGTCAGGTTTTATTTTTACAAATAGTTATTGGACTAAGAATCACTTAAGCAATCAGTGAATACATGGTGTTGATGTGTAAATTATTGTAAATACTTTTGGCATGGAGCTTGGATGAACAGCATTTAAATCAACATCCAAATATAACTAACACGGGCACAAAATAACTGAATGTAAAAGACAATTTTCATGAGCTACTCTAATTAGACAGTATTAAGTTTAGTAATATTCAAGTAGTAAAAACTAGAATCATTTATATTCAGTTCTGAATAAATAATTATACAAAGACACTTGCTACTATCAATGCATTTGATAAATTATTAAGACAAATACATATGAGGTGAAAGAAACATTATTATAAGAAGTAATATTTTCTTATTCTGGTAATAAATATCTTTATTGAATGATTTCTTGTTTTTATTTTCATAAATTACATTCTGGATTCTGATACAGAAATGGTTACTTTACGCTAGTCTTGTGTGATGTGATCATTATGAAGAACAATTAATAAAAATATCATAGAATGATGTTGTATTCATTTATTAATTCTCTTTATGGGGATGGAGATGACTGCTTAGCATTTGCTGCTAGAATAGCTCCGGGTGCAGGATAAGGTCTCATTTGGTACAAAGAGCCAGTCGCAGTTGAATCCACTCCAGTCTTAGCATGCGTGTCAAGTCCAGAAGTCCAGCTGCCCCTAGCTATATCAGAATAAGCAGCAGGGTCCATCGGATCTAAATCATTATCCCTAACCCTTTGTCTCTTATTTCTGTGATGCACCAAATCTTTGTCTTTCTCCCTCCGTTCATGTTTCTTCTCTTTGTGGACCTGTTGTGGTACTTCTTGGTCAGAAGCTTCGCTGCTATCGTCACTTTCATCACCTTCTTTCAACAATCGCTCTTCTCTCAAGTGTGCAGCACTCTCAGTAGGTACAGCACGTGGATGAGCAGGGGGTAACCAGCAAACTAAATTATTGTGAACATTCCAAAAATAATGCTGCCCAAATCCTTCATCGTAGACTTCTTCCCATCCAGGCGGCAAAGGCCACATTTCTAATGCCTTTTTCTTGTACTCCAAGTAATTCTCACGAGGAACTGTTTTTCCGGCTTTCCATCTTTTTACGCAGTACTTGGAACACTCGTGGTATATATTACTTTTATTTGGACAACCTTTATGGCCTTTTATAGGATCAACGTTGACGCCTTCAATACCTTCCCAAAAATGTTCCTTAGTGCGATCGTCAAGTTTACTGTCATAATCTTCTGCTATGATCTCTTCATTGGTTTGAGTCTGAGGAACTTCAGCGTTCTGTACTGGTTCAGGGGTTGCTTTCAATATCCCTCGCTTAGCCAGTCGCGCAGCTAAGGCCGGTGGGAGAGGCATCGTTAACAATTATTGAATAAAAGTACGGCGAAGAAAGCTTCAAATGATAAGCAAGGAATCAGTCAGTAGTAGGCTCCAATCAACGTTTTTATCAACACTTCCAAACGAAACGAATAAGCATAATCAGTAATCACCAAACACACCGTTTATACGATACGACTTAAGATTAATATCACCATATTGAATAAAAATAAATATTTTTCTCCAAAGAACGAATAAAACGAATTAGACCTGTGACCTGTGCGAAGGACTGCGAATGACATTGACAAGTTTGGGACTTGGCATAAACAATAAGAGTAGAGATCGTACCTATGGATCGTACGGAGTGGACCATAGATATTGTCTATGAATTCTGCACTCGGCACAGGAACAAGGCCATTTATGAAATCTCGAACATAATATTCAAAGAGTATAATAAGTATAATAATATTTTAACGAATACTAACAATTTATAAGGACAGGAAATCTCAAGACTGGTCTTGTCTTAGTCCATATGAAAAAATAACAATATTTCAAAATGTATAGAGCTAATACTTAATGGAAGCTTCTTCTTAATCGCCTAGATGTATAATTTTGTTTATATGGATAGCTTAGGAGTGACCTTCATCGAAAATAAGCCCATTTATAAAATTAGAAACATATTTTATTGAATTCTAATTCTTATAAAAGCTTAAAACTGGTCTTGTCCTAGTCCGGATGAAAATCTAGTAAGTACCTAATGTCTCAAAATCTACTGGCAAACCCTACCTTACAATTTTATAAAATCCAATAAGAATTGGATTGGATGAAGCCGAGACCCTTTTCTTGGTAATCGCATTTGCAGATTGCAGATCGACAGATTGCTCACCGGACATGGAAGTTTCGGGAGCTGTACCTGTGTCTGATGGGGCGGGAGGAAACGCCCGGGTGTCATCACTGCGAGGACCGCCCTGAGGACATGGTGGAACACACTGTAGCGGAATGCCCTGCGTGGGCTGAGCACCGCCGTGCCCTCAGGGAAGCGATCAGCGATGGCGAACTCTCGCATCCGTGACCAATGCAGGTCATGATGCGGAGCGAGGGGGACTGGGATGCCGTCTCCTCCTTTTGCGAAGCAGTTATGCTAGCTAAGGAGGAGACGGGACGCGTGAGACAGCGAAGCGCTGCCTCCTCGTAACCCAGCCATCGCGAAGAATATACCGGGCGTCGGGGATCGCGGGACGATCTCCGGCCACCGTAAGCACGGGCTTGCGGTCGGCGAGCATGGGTGGCTCCCCATCTGACCAGAAACAGACCCGAGCGTACGGCGCGTCGCGTTCCGCGCGCGCTTGAAAGAGCCATCAGACCACCACAGATGGGGCCCAACAGGGCAGATGGGGCTCAACAGGGCCCCATCTGCCTCTCATGCAATCAGGGCCCAGCTCGACGTGCAGGAGAAGGAACGGGGTGGTTTTTAGTCGGTAAGAGTCTGACACTACCTCCACCTCACCCAGGCGGGAGCAGTAGTTCGACGATATTCCCCCCTTAAAAAAAAGTCTTTGCCTACCCCCCATGGGAGACAGGCGGGAAGTTATGAATGTATGTATGATTCATTAAAGAGCTTAATAGCATAAAACAATATTAAAAGTGAACATGTTTTATTTAAGATTTCATACAATTTGATTCATATAATTAGGTAGGTACACTTAATAACTAATGTTATGAATGATTCCAAAGTAAGAAATACACCAGGACATTCTTGAACTCTGAAAAGAAAAATCAATTAATTTAATTAACCATCTACATTAAATAATATGCAAACATTCGGACCTCCATCATTCCTATTAAAATACGAAGTATGAGAAACATCTTTATCTATTATTTTTAGAAATGACCATTCGGTGGTCAAGAATTTACGTTGTATCCCATTTTTAACAGTAAGTGCCTAATTTTTACCACAAGTTTGGTTGTAGTTTGTAGTTATAACTACTTCCTTTGTTAATCCTTATGAAAAATTAAGTACCTATTATGGTATATTAAATTCTGTTCTTCATACGTCGACGTAAATTAACACAAATACCAAGTGATGCTTGCCATTGGAATATAAAAGTAACCTAGACCTCTAAAATTCAAATTAAAATCATGCAGAAAAAATTAAATTTCTATTTCGATTTAGGCTACATTTCATTACAAAAGCATTACGTTAAAATGTCTTCAAATTCGTTGATTCTAAATAAACAATTATTATTATTTTACTTATAATTATTATCGTAGCAAAACTATAAAATTAATACATAACACAAAAAGTACTACCAAAGTTGTTGTAAACAATACGATCAAAGGCAACTCGTGCCCATTTTATTTTAGCATCACAATACACTATTACTGTGAGGTAGATTGTGAGCTAAATTCAAATCAAGCGCTAAAATATGTAAATCTGCATCATTTTAAGAACACGCAGTTCCAAAAGTTTTTTTTATCCTGTATTCTGGCTACAAAAATATAACTATAGACAATATCATTGTAGTAACCGCGTCGTAGTCCACCCATTTCATCTATTTATTATTTCGGAAATAAAACCAGAAAAAACATGCTAATGCAGAATAAGGCCACTCTAGTGTTCTGAGGATTTTACTCTGCCCTATAACTACCCTTTCTTCTCACGATATATCTACTTATTTTATAGGTATCTTCGAATCTAAATACCAAGTTTACTTACTAGTAGTGCCTACTACTTATCGAATGCGAATTGGGAAATGCCTAACTACATACTGGCTACAGATCTCTATCTACGTAACAAGGCAAGCGGCATCAATTTACTCAATAGCAGTTCATGCGATGGCCCTGATAGAACGGAAACAATTATCACCTGATAATAGATGTCTTCACTCACCACTGGCGACTGTTGTGTCACTGCGGGACACCTTAGTAGGATTAGTAGGAAGTACAGCGTCGTGGAACTCTCCAGAATGAATTAGTTTATGTTCCGAGGGGTTGTTATCTTCACTAGATTCAAATGGAGTGACAACATCCAATTCATCAGAATTAACAGTATCCAAAGATTTATTTTGCTGCACGCATGTTTCCACATCATCAGAGGAGATATTTTCTGGGGCTACATGTTCGACTACATTACTTTTATTCTTGCTCTGTGCCATGTTATCGTTCAAATTATCTTTAATGGTTTTGTTATTTTCTACCGGATGGTCTACATGGTCTACAGTTTCAGAATCATTAAGCTCTTTCACGGAATCCACATCCTCGCTTAATTTTCCACTATTGTTACTTGGTGGAGAAATGGATTGAATAGCATCTTCTCTCTTCAATTGCTTACGTCTTTCACTTTTATCATAACCCAAAGGATGTAAATTAATGGACGATGGTGGACTGCTGTCTAAAGATAAATCCATTGAAGTGATTAAACTCTCATCACGACTTAAATAATTCCCACCTTCGGGAACAATATGAATGTTTAAGACAGTTTTATTCTTATTTTGTTCATTGTCCATTTCTAGAGATGTAAGCGAAGGTTCGTTGGAATAACTAGTGTGTTGGGAATTAGTAGAAATAGTTTTATTTGAATAAAGTTTATTTCTAACCAAAAAGCCTCTAACGTGGGCTTGAATAATAGTTGCGGCACTCGATAACGTAGAGGAGTCGTCGGATAAAGAAAGCGACTTTTCCTCGTTGACAGTTTGGAGAACTGTATCCATTCTTGTGATACCGTGTGGCCTTCTTTCGTTTAGAGGACCTGGAATGGTAAAATCACATTCCTCCTGGAACATAACATTTATATGATAACAAAAAATAAACATGCAACCGCAGTTTTCCGTAAACAATACTATGTGCGTAAATTATACGATGTATTATCTAAAAATTTACGTACCTTATTTTTCTCATCATCATTCGAGTACATTGTTTCATCGTTGACGGTTTCATCTAATGTAGACGTTCTGCTCTTAAAAAGGAATGATCGAAAAACTTTTTGTATAGTTACTGCAGCAGTTTCTAAATCCATATTATCTTGGTTGTTAGGAGTCGCTTCACTTAATTTTGATGTCCCAAGATCGTTGTTGCGAATGTCATTATTTTCTATATGTTCAGTATTCTTAACATTATCCTCAATAGCATTGTCAATTACATTTTCACGATGATTCTCCTGAAGCTTTTCATTTTCCGAATCTTGTCCTGATTCAACTTTATTCGATTGGGGTGAATCAGTGTGTATATTCGAATTAAGGGCACTTATTTCATTAAAACCGTTTACCTCCTCTAGATCACCATTACTGGATTCTTGTACAACAAGTGTCATGATCTCATTATCAGTATTTGAATCCAATAATGATTCCATAACATCAGAACTTACTTGTGAACCCTGTAGCTCTACTGTGGGGGATTCTTTAAAAGAAATTTCGAATTGGTTGGTTTCCTGAGAATCTGAATCCGTTTCCTTTTTATTATCATCAGTTTCCAATTTCTTTTCACCGTTTTCTGTTGTATTTATCTGGGACTCATAATCAAGAACAACATTACCATCCTTAATGTTTTCAGTTACATTGGAATGCTGAGTTTTTGTAACAATTTCATCAGGTTGGGTTTCAACATTGTTATTATCAAATGTAAATGGTTGCACAGATGACTTCAGTTTATCTGCATCATTTTCTTCGCTTTTATTATCTGTCACCGGTTCCGTTTTTATAGCAGTAACGTTTTCGACATAAATTTTATTATTTTCTATAATTACGTCATTAATTGGACTTGACTTGTCAGTTTCTTGTAAATCTACAGCTATGAATTCTTCATTTTCTTCAAATGACTGTTGATTATCGGGCTTCACTTGTACCTCAACGACGGGTTCACTCATATTATTTAAGGTTTCTGACGCATCACTGGAAATAATCTTGGTCTCCGGTACTATTATGGGATTTTCAATTGCGTTATCACTAATTGGAGTGTTAGCCTCTGCGGTGAAAATATCGCCTTTTAGTTCGTCCATTTTAGAGATAGAGTCAGCTTTCATATCTAGTTTCAAATCGTTTTTATCGTTTCTAGCTACCTCAGAAATTTGATAATCTTCAGGTGGTGTGTCATTTTTATTTGATAATTCAACTATCGCAGACGATTGGGCTGCTGGTGACGATGGATCTGCAGCTGAAGATAAAGCTACTGCTGACGATATAGCTACAGCTGATGACAGAGCCGCAGCTGAGGATAGACCAACTGCTGACGACAGAGCTACTACTGACGATACAGCTGCTAATGACGGTATAACTGGTGCTGACGATACAGCTGTTGTTGCTGACGATACAGCTGTTGTTGCTGACGAAACAGTTGTTGTTGCTGACGATACAGCTATTGTTGCTGACGATACAGGTTCTGCTGACGATACAGATTCTGCTGACGATATGGGTTCTGCTGACAATACAGCTTCTGCTGACGATACGGGCTCTGCTAACGAGTTAACTAACTCCTGTTCTTTATGAATAAGTGGTGTAATATCAATAGCAGCTGCTTCTTGAACAGGAATTGGTGTATCGTTATTATTTGAAGCTTTTATTTCAGTTTCTTGATCACGCTGTCGCTTGAGCATCTCATTATCATATTGTTGCCTTCGTTGCTCTGCTCGCTGCCTTACCTTTTCTTGGGCTTTGGCAATTTTCTCTTCTAATGTTAGTTTTTTTTTTTGAACTGCAACGGTGTGCGTACATAAGTGCATGATCATTTAAGTTTTGATATTGAAACAGTTGTACCTACTTACACAAAATTAATCCCCAAAATATTATGAATTTTGATTCATTATTTTCCCAACCAGGAGTCGAACCCGACACCCCATGTGACCATTTAGCTAAAGTCGGAGTTGAAAAAAAAAATTAAATGAAATCTCACCAATGCATGGATTGTTCTATGTTTTGCTAATTCTATTTTTGTTACCTATCTGAGGCACTGCATCTGAATAAAGCTGTTATTATAGTTGTAATTTATCGAGAATCAACCAAAAAAATATACTTACGGGGGCCATCTCTTATTTCGAGAAGTTGTTTGAAATGATTAGCGCAGTATCCGTAAATATCCGTAGGATTATTTTTCAGTACATCCCTTGATAAATCTTGTATTAAATTCACCAGCCCAGGAGGCATTTTAGGAGGCGTCGGCCGATAGTATGTTCGAGTACCAGAAACACGCATGACTATATTTAATTAACTTATTTTAGTACGAATTTAAACAATTTGTGGAAGAAATAACAATAGGTAGGTATTATAGAGTTCGTAATAAAATTAACACTGATTGTTCCTGTGGGGTGTGGGTTACACTGCCCAAAGTATTGTCGACAGCGACAACGGTATTGAACAGTGTTCGTGTATCAGAATTTCCCTGTACTGTGCAGTGTTTGGCCTATGGTAGCCATAGCGATGTTACTTGAACTTGATGTTACCATACTGTATCGATCCCACGGTTCAACGTACCGTCGTATTTACATTCAATTATTCTTAAAGCCACGACCTTTAGTTTACCATTCCTACTACAGCTGTACATCGCGTGCGCGCTACTTTGCTACTTCTACATAAATATGGGCGACATTTGAACTTAGCGGGGGGCAGTTTCTCTTCGTAATAATATCAAGCTTTTGAAGTGCCGAATGGGGCTGACAGACATAAGAGGACATATTTAATTAAAACACCAACTTTTGCCATATTATTATGTCGAGCACTGGTCCAGACGCAGTGTCTCAAAATTATCGAAAAATTCATTATAACTGGCCGTGCCGGGAAATGAACCCAAACCGTACTTGGCCCTTGCTTGTGCGACTTGGCCGTCGCATTTGCAAACAATTTATCATTAAAACAAACGACAGGATATTCTTCACCTATCTCTGCCTACTGTATGCAGTAGGTATCACTGAATTGTCGAAACTTCTAACGACTGAAATTAAAGTATAGATTAGCCTGATTAGATTCGAATCGAGCCCTGAGCGATAAGTGATGAGCGATTTAAAATAGCATGCTTCTTATCAAAATGTTTCAAATATTTCTATCAAGTATAATAAAATATTTAAAACTTTCCTGTTATCTGTTATATTTATATAGGTAATTAAGGTAGGTACGTGTTATGTTATTAAAGTTTATAATAGTCGGGAATTCCATTATCATGAGACGAAGTAAACGATTTTCAGTTCCGATACTTACACGTCTTAAGAAATCCACCATCCCAAATTTTCGAGAGAGTTCAGAGAGATGTTCTCTCATCCAATGTTTCAAATCTGTGTGTTGAGCACGTGTGACGTGTGGCTGTAATTTGACCACATTAGTAAGTACTCACATTCATTCACCAAACTGTTGTAACAGATGAAAAGGAAGTCTTGAACCTTGAAAACCCCTAGTGGCAGTAATTCTTTACGAGGAAAGATTTACGTGTGGGAGAGCCATGCTTTGGCGAGAATGGGCCGGCTCGACCGGAGTGATACCATCGTAGGCCCAATTCCCCCCCCCCCCTCCTTTCCCTGAACAATCCTCAAATTCCTAATTCCAAAAACGCACTTGTGTTCACACAAGTGCGCACACCTCTGGTGTTCCAAGTGTCCATGAGCGACGCCGATTGCTTACCAGGTGATCAGTCTGCTCGTTTACCGGCTTATTCAACAAAAAAAAATAAGATTTCATAGGATCAAAATTAATTAACGAAAAACAGAGATTAATTGGATGGCGTTCAGTATTCATCTGGCCTGGTTATAAGTGATTGTGTTGCTGATCATAATGAAATATCACTAGATGAAGAAAGGTGTCTTTTCGGTGCTGACCATAAAAACAGGATTATATCGTGGGCCTAACTATCCATCATGATTTGAAGGACCATTGGTGAACCAGAATAATTGCCCACCACAGGTCAAGGCAGCATTTGTATTTTTACGGTTATTTTCACTGTTGTTCAAAAGATACTCTGTCGTCTTGGACCAGTTTAAAAAATGATTTGAGGAACACTGTAAACCATACTAGATAATGCATCGTGCACATCAGTTTTTAGGTATATTTATAAGGATATTTTTCTTATAGTTATCTGTGCTATACCAATATTTGCAACTTGTAAGTAGATTCTACAAATTCACTCCAAATGCTAGCTAATTCTTTTCTTGTTTCTGCGCCAACTAATTAAAAACAACGAAGCCCCCAGCAATTTGGGATCCTCAAACCCTGCCGCCATAACCGGGAGTTTTTTGAGAATAGAAGACTGATATAAATAAACTGAAGCCAAAGGATGAACATGAGATCTGGTAACCAATAACTCTGGAAAAGGTACTTTCATCTACTTCTGATTCAGGACAAACTAAGTTGAAATAAAAAGTAAAAACGCAGTGTTTTACGGTTTTTAACAATTCATAATTTTATTTTACATATAAAATGTTTGTGGTTAAATTATCCAACAGTGGGTAGGCGCATAGTAACATATGTAAGTAGGCGCGGCGGAGTATATAATGGATCTCAACACTGTTGGACAATGTTGAAAAAGGACCTAAGTTACATATAAAAGTGCCCATCATTCTTTCTCTATACTACATTGTATAGCTCTCGTGTACTCGGGTTTTATAAGGTTTGTCTAAACAATAACAACGCGGCTCTATAGGTTCATTAAATTGTATAACAATATAGTAAATTTATATCTATATTAATAATATAGTTTTTAGTACTTTAGTAACTCGGGAAGTCTTTTAAGAACAACTAATGAAAGTATATTGCACATTATGTAATTGGACTCGTTTTGAAATGAAAAGCCGAGTAATGTGAAAATTTCTTGTGTATTTCCAATGAAATTTGCGCAACTGAGTAATCACTAGGGGAACGTATCTCTGGAGGACAGTAGGTGAGACGACAGGCGAGCGAGACCGGCGCTTACTACTAGCCACCGCGGGGCGCCTACACTTACATTATGTTTACTTAAAGAATTCAATTCATGTGAGTCAACTTTTTTATTTCCATACTGTGTTCTATAATAGTAATTTATATAAGATCATATATAATTTTTGCAATGTTAATACATTTTACATAACAAACATCTCCATAGTGTACATACATACACACGCAGTAGCGAAATTTCGCGCGCGTATCGGTATATACAGAGGCGGGGCGCGAGCGCCGCGCACTGGCCTGGCCGCGCCACCGGCACTCTACAAGTGATGATAGAAAAAATTAATTGCTACAATAATATCATACAAATTAATGACTATTCCCTTACAAATTATTATATCTACTTTTAGCATTGTTCTACTCCAATATAATCCAAATTAACTTTTTAGTTTTACCGAGCTGTATGCATGATACATGAATAGTTTTCAGTTCGCTCTGACCGATTTTGCCCAATTAGTGTTCCTCTCCCGCAGCTATGTATAGAAACCACACTGCTATAAATTTATAATAAATAAATGCCTATTTACACTATGTAACTATACAAAATGATAGTACGACGAAATTACATTACTGAATCGAGCATCTAATTGAAATGAAAATTTCGTACAACGATCTACGGGCGCGGGCCGAATCGGCGAGGCCAGGCGCGGGCCGCGCCGCGACGTCCCGCGTACACTAAACAAATTACATTTTTAATTTTTTCTTATTCATTTTTGTACAATCATATTCAGCCAAAAGCTGGGTGCCCGATTAATACATTTATCGGTGATCCGAAATGCGTTACAATCGATCATGCATCAATAATACATACAACTTTAACTTATTTAAACAATTTAACAATATTAAAAAATCCTAAAGTAAACTAGAGACCTATGTAAACGTATATAAAATAGTAATAATCATTATGACAGTGCATCGGGATGCGGACATATTAACATTTAGCACTATTAGTAATTTGTAGTCACACCGAACATGAGTCGAGCCGCTAAGCGGGACGCGAGCGGTCCATCGGCGCTCGCGAGCGAACCGAATCCACAGACATCGGCACGATAGCGTATCCGGACGACCGACCGTTAGAGGTATTAAAAATTAATAACGTCATTAACAAAAATGTAATCGAATAGAAAATATCAATACATAGCTGAAAACAAATTCAATCGCATTATTCTAGGTCGTGGATGGAGGGTGTGTGAGGACATCACTTGGCGAGTGCGGGCGCCGCCCCCGCCACCGCCCCCGCCGTCGCCCGCTTGTGGCTGATCTCCAGCTCGCCCAGCCGCTTCCACAGCTCGTCGCGCTCCTTCTCGCGTTTTTTCTCTCTGCAACAACGACAACGCTCCGTTATATCTTAGACCACATGTATCGCAACAATCACTATTGGATGAGTTCATCACTCACTTCTGCCGTTCCGCCTTATAGCTAGCAGTGAGCTCATCAAAGAGCTTGGAATTCATCTCCATGAATGTCTTGAGCACATTGTAGACGAGCGCCACTATGGTCTGGTTCCAGTGCTCCTTGCTGATTCGGTACAGCGCGGGGAACATTATAGGCATTATCACGTGGTTGTTTTCTTCCATCAGTGACATAATATATTCGTTGTTCCAAAAATATAGTGCTCTTTCAGCCACCTGGAAGCAACAAATTATCATTTTAGTAAATCATTTCAAAATACATTGTGACAAGATGCAACTTTGTATAATCTCTTTATCTCGATATTCCTTGCAAATATGTATTAGTAAACAACAATAGAAAGATTTGTAGATTAATAGTACGTAGCACAAAAGATGCACAAATACATCATTCGCCTTACAATAGACCAATATGGTGATTGTATTGCTCTATTGTAAGGCAAATAAAGTCTTAAAGTCAATGGCACAACACAGTTTCTTTGAAAGAAAGTTCAGGATTTTAAAAGTAGTCAGTAGTCGATACATGTGGTTCCCGCGCGAGGATAATTTTCAAAGAATAATTCTGCAATATGCGAGATAAGCACCTCTCATTTCTATGATACACACTAATATTTGTTCGCAAAAAAGAACAATCATGTAAATAAAGATACTCACCTGAAAATGTGGACTGGAAACACATTTAGCTATTTGTCTGAACAACGGTTCTTGTATTTTGACGAATTGAGCGGGCTCAATTACATCCAAAATCTCCTCAATCTCACCCAAGAACATCACCTGGAAGATGTTGAAGTCATAAGTTTTGCTCAATAAAATCATTGAAAGCAATTTTGTAGATTTATTTAGATGTTTAAAATACCTCTTTTTGCGAACATGTTTTGGGCCAGAATTTGAGAAGTCCGCGTACAACGTGTTCCGTAAGTGTAGCGTCCTTCTCAAGGAACTGTACCACGCAGTAGGCCAGCTGTGCGTGGTACAGAGACAGACACTTCACCTTGTGCAGGGGCAACAGCACCTTCACCAGGAACTGTTTGTGCTCACTCTTCAATGGGAGTGCAAATCCATTGATTATACTGTAACATTAACAGAACACATTGCATTGATAGTT